TGAGAGCTGCCAGGATGGATTCGCTTGGTCCTGATCTTTCCAACGAGCCCAGGACGATGAAAATCCATCAAGGTTGAGTGAAATCAGAATAAATTTTCGTTCGGAGCTGTGAGTGCATACTCCACCAAGAGAGTCAGTGCGCTGGACGGCCAGTGGATTGGAGAAAAGGGGCTCAGCATGCAAAGGGTTAAAAAACAACTCAACTCAACTCTAAAATGAAAGTCGGCCGAATGCTTATTGAGGAAGCGGAGGTCTATAATCAACCTCAATTTTCCATTGCTTTTAGGGACCACGCCCAGCGGGATAATTACATGGATAGCATTTTCTCCCACAGGCCCCGAACGCAACAACAGAAGGATTAGGTCAGACTCAACACTGGAGTGATTGTTAGAAGATTTAGGTCACGCCCGGAACTGGGGCGGCGCGGGGCGGGGAGACAACACACAAAAAATAGCCATAGCGAATAATACATAAAACAAAATCTGAGGCACCAATATTTCCCCAAAATGCAATGGGGTGTAACAACCGCCCATGAACGTTACTGTCACAAGCACTTATCTCGTCAGACTCCAGCCAGTCCGGGAACTCATGCTCCGTCCATTCGTGGACGAGCTCCAGCAGTGGTTTGTGGTTGCTGAGTCCAGTGTGGTTGGCGACTACTGCCTCGGCCGAACTGGGGCAATGCCTACTGACGTGACCCAACCTGCTGGCAGGTCCTGCAATGCGGGCCGCTGCCAGGGGTTCCGCTATCGTTGTCAAACAGTCCGTGGCCTGGTGGTCTTCGCTGGAATTGGGCGTTGTTGCCAATGTTGGATGCACGAACATTCCTACCTGGGTGTCGCATCTCAGGTAGGAACCGCTCCCTGGGTTGTAATTGCCTGAGCCGATGACCTGTGGAGGCTGCATTGGCGAGTCTTTCGTCGTCTGCAGGGCTGTCACCTACGCTGCCCTCCTCGTAGACTCTCACTGTTTCCCAGTCAAAGGAAACGGCTATTTCGAGTTGTTTCTGCCTTTACAGATTTATCAGTCCAGGCAGGCTCAGGAGGAGCTAGATGAGCCGCGGTTCCATGGTTGCGAGTGGACATTGGTATGTTGAAGTATTATTATTAGAAGGTTCTCCGCGTCGGCATAAATGCAATGTAGATATACACAGCATGTACAGCTTTCGCATAAGCCGAAGCGACAACAGCCAAACAGGATATTGATAGCGATATAAAAACATATGCGATATAAAACGCGTGAGGCCACCCAGAATTAATTCGTTGTTTCGGGTCACCCGACCGACCGTCTTTTTTCACCCGACCGCAATTTTTTTAGTGCATGCAAATGGGCATGACTACAAGGTAGACTATGTACACACACGACCCAAAATATGTATAGCAGTCCAGACATCGACCTCAGAGTCAGAAGCAGCCTGCAGCACTTGGTGACGACGTTGTCTTCTACATTGTATCTCCGATTCGCAATCGGTCCTGAAACAGCATCAGCTCCGCCACTGCGTCGCTCATTGACAGAAGTTTTCAAGGACTTCCGTGAGAGCTGCTCGTCAGACTCGTTTGCCAGCGAGGCCAAGATCTGGTCCTGGAGGGGACGTGGCCCCGGACCTTGATCTGATGGGACAATGGCTACGCTGGATCGACTACAGTCAGATTTGATCGACTGGCTTGATGGAAAAAAGCTATTCAATATGCACAATTGTACATGCATACACCCCTGCCCGCAACTAAAATAAAAAATAAAATAAAAAATAAACCCGACCGTCCGACCCTGGTACGGATGAGTGAAGTGACCCGAAACAACAAATTAATTCTAGGTGCTTGCCTGACGAAAATAGAATACAAATAAAACAAGCAAACAAGCAGCTCAACCGAGTTGAATTCAAATTTGCTGATCATTGCCAGGGACCCTCCGTGAGCAGTAACATATCTCTCTAGGATACGGCCGCAAAGGTAGCTCCACGCCCCGCGGTTCTGGGCGATGCTCCTCAGCTCCTCAAGATCCGCCGAGGTCTTGAGGGTCCTCCCAACCAGCTCGAGATGGTGTCTGAGCACGACAGCCAGAGTTGTGCCCCGCTTCCCCCTCCAGGTAGGCTCAGTGGATGGCTTGTAGTAGGAGCACATTGACAGGTTCGCCGGTGCACTCTGGTCCAGCCGCAGCACGTGCCCAAACAGACGCCAGCGGGCTCTCAGGACCGAGATACCAAGTGGTGTTGAGTTTGTCCTCTTGCACAGGGTGCTATTCTTGATTTTAGCTGGGTACCATATGCCAATAACCTTCGGCAGTTGTTGTCTATGGAACGCATCAACTCTATGCATAGCGCTGCCAGTGAGGCCCCAAGTCCCATTGTTGTAGCGCAGGACTGGTAAAATGAATGTTTTTGTATAGCCGTACTCTCAGCGATTCGTTTACAATGGAACCACATATCCATTATGCCCAGAGTCGGTGCAGGGCAGCCGTGGCGAGTTGCGTTCTCCGCGCAGCATCCTCGTGGTCACCAATGGTGAGGCGCCATTCCTCGCACATTCTGTCGTTGAGCCATATGATGTTTGTGAGTTCTGTTTTAGATTCATTGATGTTGAGGTCCCAGGCTTTGAGGCACTTTGCAATGTCGAGCAGGGGCTCTTGAATACATTTGCAGTCAGACGATCTAGATCGGGTCTTGCGCAGATAATCTTTCTCACCTCCCAAAGCGTTGCCTCCAGGTAGATAACGAATAGGACAGGTGATATGGAGTCACCCTGTGGTGTACCTCAGGTGGTCTGGAACTGCTCGCTCTTCCCTCCAGGTAACTGGACCTCTAGAGACGTGTTCCTGAGTAGCTAGGACATAATGGTGACCTCATCATTCTCAAGCATGGCCAGCAATCGAGGACATCTGAGAGTTGTAATTTTTGTACTCCTCCGAGGTGTGATTTTTGGCGTGCTGGGCCAAGCACAAGGAAGCTATCTGCAAAAAAACTGCAGAAAATGGTTGTTGTTTGATCCTTTGGTGTAATCTTTGTTTCTAGTCGAAGCTAGTTGCTGTTTGGAGCAGAAACGCTGAAATTGACTATTTTCTGCATGTACTCATTCATGTACTCATGTACTCAGGCATGCAGTCTCACTCGTATTTTAGCTGTTTTTCTGGAATGGATGCTGCTCTGCGCCCCTTGGTGAACATTTCCTGCGCTCGTGGAGCAGCTGAAAAGGACCACTGGTATGTCTGGCTCCTGGTTTGAAAGTGGAGAGTCGACTTTTGTGCCTTGAAAAAGGAGTAGAGAGCGATAAAGGTACGTCTGTGGCTTATTTTTGAGTGCTCCTCGTACATTTTTGATCATGATAGAAATTCTCAGACCAAAGTCAGATCAAAGTCAGCGCGATGATGGCCGTACAGTTTCCTTGTGGATTTTTTAGTTGTTTCATCTCATATCTATGTCAGTATCGTGATGGTGAAGTGGAGAGGGTGATTTTCTTCCTCTAGGCTTCGTTCGGCCGACTTTGCTTCGTCCTCGTTGAAAAGTGATCCTGAAAAAAGGATCGATTCGCAAAATTATGTTGATTTGCAATGTACGTGATGACATGCAATTGCTGGCTATGGAAGCTAGCTAATATAGTGAGCAAACGGTACCTGGATATTGTGTTGAACGCTTTCGACATGTCTTTGCCGAGCACGCGAAATGATTTCCTCACTCGTTGGCACCGTGCCGCCGTGCCGTGATCACCGTGCCGCGATCCATCTGTAAGACCAAACTACATTACTTAGCCACCCGCACTAGTACCAAGTGTTACCTTCACTGGAGGCAGAGGTAACTGCAGTTGGATCCCGGGACGGTTACCTTGATGCCATCAATCCTTTTCGTCACCTTGTCCTCCCCCGCTTACTGAGGTGTGGTGAGCCCATAAGTTGGATACTTTCAAGTCCACGCTAGTTTGCGGATTTCAGGGGTGTAGGCCGTTGGTCGGTTCAATAGCTAATTGAGTCATCTTTCCAAGATTCCTTTGGAGTTTCTCTCCCCTCCCCGGTGAGACTCACGTGACCAGTTTTGGCAGTGAGCAAGTACAAGTGTGTGTGTGTGTGTGTGCGTGTGTGTATGTGTGTGTGTGTGTGTGTGTGTGTGTGTGTGTGTGTGTGTGTGTGTGTGTGTGTGTGTGTGTGTGTGTGTGTGTGCGTGCACATGTGTATGCGGGAGTGTGCGTACATACTTGGATGGGTATGTGCGTATTTGAGTGTGCTAGCCTGTGTGTTTCTTTGTGTGTGTGTGTTTGTGTGTGTGTGTGTGTGTGTCTCTGTGTGTGTAAAAGTAGAGAAAGAAAATGAAAAATAGGGATTCACTGGCCAGAAAAAGCCACTTCAATCAGCTGTGTGGTGGACACCAGGCTAAAATTAGTTGCGGTTAAATCATCATCCTTGCAAGCTGTTGAATGGTGTAATCCTAGCTCAATTTGCTATGTCTAACATAGCTGTTAGCTATCATCGCTTCCGTGATGATCGGCATGTCTGAGTTCTGAGTTCTGTGTGTGTGTGTGTGTGTGTGTATGTGTGTGTGTGCGTGCGTGTATGTGCGAGCATGCATATGTCCGTGTGTTTGTGTTTGTCTGTGTTTTTTGTGTGTTTGTGTGTGCGTGTGTTTGAACATGCTAGCATGTGTGTATCTTTATCTGTTTGTTTTGTTTGTTTGTGTGTTTGGTATGTGTATGTGTGTGTATATGTGTGTATGTATCTGTATGTGTGTTTTTGTGTGTGTGCGGTGTGTGCGCACGCGCCTGTGTGAGTGTTTATGTGCATATGTGCGTGCAAAATATGTGTTTTAATGGTGTGTCTGTGTGGGCGTGTGTGTGTGTGTGGGCGTGTGTGCGTGTGTGTGTGTTTGTGTGTGTGTGTGTGTTTGTGTGTGTGTGTGTGTGTGTGTGTGTGTGTGTGTGTGTGTGTGAGCATGTCAGCGTGTGCGTATGTGCATGTATGTACGTACGTATCTGTGTGCTTGTTTGTGCGTGTGTGCACATTTGCTCTTGCATACTCAGGCTCTTCTGATACTGGCAGCATGCTACTATGGCAGCATTCATTGTGTCCAGTTTTTACTGTGGTGTAATCCGTCGCTCTTGCACGGCAAAGTTATGTTCAGTGTCGATAATGAGCCACGACAGGTGAGTACTGGCCGAAGTGCTCGGCGTGAAACTGTTTGTTCTGATCACTGGTTTGTTTATTCTGATAAACTGAGCACATGTTCATCCAGCGTCGCATTGCTGTCAAAGATGTTCCCAGAAAATTGCATGTTCCTCTCTTTGTAAATGTGGTGAACAATGCGCCTCAAAGCCATATATAGTAAAACAACTGTAACTAAAGACCGGCACCGTAACTAGCGACCAGCCTGGTACTAAAGACCACCGTGACTAGCGACCAGCCTGGTACTACACACCACTTCACCAGGCACGGACGGTCTCATATACAAAAATGCACTGTGACAAGCGACTACCTGCTGAACGCATCCAGCGGCCGCCTTTTCTTGTCCCAAAGTCGATTTTTGACATGTAACTAGCGACAGCAGTGCAGGAAATCAAAGGTTGTTCGAAGCTACTTCTTCGACATTTTGATTATTTCTGTCCTGAATGGACTCTTTCGATACTACAGCTGCACGAATTAATGCAATCTCATTTTGACAATGGGCTGAACTGCACCTGGCATAGTTTCAAGTGCTCTCATGAGCAAACATGAAACGAAACGTCTTGGAGAGCACCTGCTCGAACCTGCTCTATGATCGATGCTACTTCTCAAAGGAGAAAGCATTGCACAAGTGGTGGGATATTGTATTAGCTACATTTTGACATACATATCAGAGATGGGATCCATATAGGGTTGCGCGATGCAAACTTCTAACTAAAGACCACCTGCCACTAAAGACCGTTTCTTCTTGCCCCAAGGGGTGGTCGTTAGTTACAGGTTTACTGTATACACGGTATACTTTAGTAGAGCTACAACATAACCACTGGCCAGTGGGTATACTTTAGTAGAGCTACAACATAACCACTGGCCAGTGGGTATACTTTAGTACAGCTACAACATAACCACTGGCCAGTGGGTATACTTTAGTAGAGCTACAACATAACCACTGGCCAGTGGGTATACTTTAGTAGAGCTACAACATAACCACTGGCCAGTGGGTATACTTTAGTAGAGCTACAACATAACCACTGGCCAGTGGGTATACTTTAGTAGAGGTACAACATAACCACTGGCCAGTGGGTATACTTTAGTAGAGCTACAACATAACCACTGGCCAGTGGGTATACTTTAGTAGAGCTACAACATAACCACTGGCCAGTGGGTATACTTTAGTAGAGCTACAACATAACCACTGGCCAGTGGGTATACTTTAGTAGAGCTACAACATACCCACTGGCCAGTGGGTATACTTTAGTAGAGCTACAACATAACCACTGGCCAGTGGGTATACTTTAGTAGAGCTACAACATAACCACTGGCCAGTGGGTATACTTTAGTAGAGCTACAACATAACCACTGGCCAGTGGGTATACTTTAGTAGAGCTACAACATAACCACTGGCCAGTGGGTATACTTTAGTAGAGGTACAACATAACCACTGGCCAGTGGGTATACTTTAGTAGAGCTACAACATAACCACTGGCCAGTGGGTATACTTTAGTAGAGGTACAACATAACCACTGGCCAGTGGGTATACTTTAGTAGAGCTACAACATAACCACTGACCAGTGGGTATACTTTAGTAGAGCTACAACATAACCACTGGCCAGTGGGTATACTTTAGTAGAGCTACAACATAACCACTGGCCAGTGGGTATACTTTAGTAGAGCTACAACATAACCACTGGCCAGTGGGTATACTTTAGTAGAGCTACAACATAACCACTGGCCAGTGGGTATACTTTAGTAGAGCTACAACATAACCACTGGCCAGTGGGTATACTTTAGTAGAGCTACAACATAACCACTGGCCAGTGGGTATACTTTAGTAGAGCTACAACATAACCACTGGCCAGTGGGTATACTTTAGTAGAGCTACAACATAACCACTGGCCAGTGGGTATACTTTAGTAGAGCTACAACATAACCACTGGCCAGTGGGTATACTTTAGTAGAGCTACAACATAACCACTGGCCAGTGGGTATACTTTAGTAGAGCTACAACATAACCACTGGCCAGTGGGTATACTTTAGTAGAGCTACAACATAACCACTGGCCAGTGGGTATACTTTAGTAGAGCTACAACATAACCACTGGCCAGTGGGTATACTTTAGTAGAGCTACAACATAACCACTGGCCAGTGGGTATACTTTAGTAGAGCTACAACATAACCACTGGCCAGTGGGTATACTTTAGTAGAGCTACAACATAACCACTGGCCAGTGGGTATACTTTAGTAGAGCTACAACATAACCACTGGCCAGTGGGTATACTTTAGTAGAGGTACAACATAACCACTGGCCAGTGGGTATACTTTAGTAGAGCTACAACATAACCACTGGCCAGTGGGTATACTTTAGTAGAGCTACAACATAACCACTGACCAGTGGGTATACTTTAGTAGAGCTACAACATAACCACTGACCAGTGGGTATACTTTAGTAGAGGTACAACATAACCACTGACCAGTGGGTATACTTTAGTAGAGGTACAACATAACCACTGACCAGTGGGTATACTTTAGTAGAGCTACAACATAACCACTGGCCAGTGGGTATACTTTAGTAGAGCTACAACATAACCACTGGCCAGTGGGTATACTTTAGTAGAGCTACAACATAACCACTGACCAGTGGGTATACTTTAGTAGAGCTACAACATAACCACTGACCAGTGGGTATACTTTAGTAGAGCTACAACATAACCACTGGCCAGTGGGTATACTTTAGTAGAGCTACAACATAACCACTGGCCAGTGGGTATACTTTAGTAGAGCTACAACATAACCACTGGCCAGTGGGTATACTTTAGTAGAGCTACAACATAACCACTGGCCAGTGGGTATACTTTAGTAGAGCTACAACATAACCACTGGCCAGTGGGTATACTTTAGTAGAGCTACAACATAACCACTGGCCAGTGGGTATACTTTAGTAGAGCTACAACATAACCACTGGCCAGTGGGTATACTTTAGTAGAGCTACAACATAACCACTGGCCAGTGGGTATACTTTAGTAGAGCTACAACATAACCACTGGCCAGTGGGTATACTTTAGTAGAGCTACAACATAACCACTGGCCAGTGGGTATACTTTAGTAGAGCTACAACATAACCACTGGCCAGTGGGTATACTTTAGTAGAGGTACAACATAACCACTGGCCAGTGGGTATACTTTAGTAGAGGTACAACATAACCACTGGCCAGTGGGTATACTTTAGTAGAGCTACAACATAACCACTGGCCAGTGGGTATACTTTAGTAGAGCTACAACATAACCACTGGCCAGTGGGTATACTTTAGTAGAGCTACAAGATAACCACTGGCCAGTGGGTATACTTTAGTAGAGCTACAACATAACCACTGGCCAGTGGGTATACTTTAGTAGAGCTATAACATAACCACTGGCCAGTGGGTATACTTTAGTAGAGGTACAACATAACCACTGACCAGTGGGTATACTTTAGTAGAGCTACAACATAACCACTGGCCAGTGGGTATACTTTAGTAGAGCTATAACATAACCAGTGGCCAGTGGGTATACTTTAGTAGAGGTACAACATAACCACTGGCCAGTGGGTATACTTTAGTAGAGCTACAACATAACCACTGGCCAGTGGGTATACTTTAGTAGAGGTACAACATAACCACTGGCCAGTGGGTATACTTTAGTAGAGCTACAACATAACCACTGGCCAGTGGGTATACTTTAGTAGAGCTACAACATAACCACTGGCCAGTGGGTATACTTTAGTAGAGCTACAACATAACCACTGGCCAGTGGGTATACTTTAGTAGAGCTATAACATAACCACTGGCCAGTGGGTATACTTTAGTAGAGGTACAACATAACCACTGGCCAGTGGGTATACTTTAGTAGAGCTACAACATAACCACTGGCCAGTGGGTATACTTTAGTAGAGGTACAACATAACCACTGGCCAGTGGGTATACTTTAGTAGAGGTACAACATAACCACTGGCCAGTGGGTATACTTTAGTAGAGCTACAACATAACCACTGGCCAGTGGGTATACTTTAGTAGAGCTACAACATAACCACTGGCCAGTGGGTATACTTTAGTAGAGCTACAACATAACCACTGGCCAGTGGGTATACTTTAGTAGAGCTACAACATAACCACTGGCCAGTGGGTATACTTTAGTAGAGCTACAAGATAACCACTGGCCAGTGGGTATACTTTAGTAGAGCTACAACATAACCACTGGCCAGTGGGTATACTTTAGTAGAGCTACAACATAACCACTGGCCAGTGGGTATACTTTAGTAGAGGTACAACATAACCACTGGCCAGTGGGTATACTTTAGTAGAGCTACAACATAACCACTGGCCAGTGGGTATACTTTAGTAGAGGTACAACATAACCACTGGCCAGTGGGTATACTTTAGTAGAGGTACAACATAACCACTGGCCAGTGGGTATACTTTAGTAGAGCTACAACATAACCACTGGCCAGTGGGTATACTTTAGTAGAGCTATAACATAACCACTGGCCAGTGGGTATACTTTAGTAGAGGTACAACATAACCACTGACCAGTGGGTATACTTTAGTAGAGCTACAACATAACCACTGGCCAGTGGGTATACTTTAGTAGAGCTATAACATAACCACTGGCCAGTGGGTATACTTTAGTAGAGGTACAACATAACCACTGGCCAGTGGGTATACTTTAGTCGAGCTACAACATAACCACTGGCCAGTGGGTATACTTTAGTAGAGGTACAACAGAACCACTGGCCAGTGGGTATACTTTAGTAGAGCTACAACATAACCACTGGCCAGTGGGTATACTTTAGTAGAGCTACAACATAACCACTGACCAGTGGGTATACTTTAGTAGAGCTACAACATAACCACTGGCCAGTGGGTATACTTTAGTAGAGCTACAACATAACCACTGGCCAGTGGGTATACTTTAGTAGAGCTATAACATAACCACTGGCCAGTGGGTATACTTTAGTAGAGCTACAACATAACAACTGGCCAGTGGGTATACTTTAGTAGAGCTACAACATAACCACTGGCCAGTGGGTATACTTTAGTAGAGCTACAACATAACAACTGGCCAGTGGGTATACTTTAGTAGAGGTACAACATAACCACTGGCCAGTGAGTATACTTTAGTAGAGCTACAACATAACCACTGGCCAGTGTTTTTACTTTAGTAGAGCTACAACATAACCATTGGCCAGTGGGTATACTTTAGTAGAGCTACAACATAACCACTGGCCAGTGGGTATACTTTAGTAGAGGTACGACATAACCACTGGCCAGTGGGTATACTTTAGTGAAGGTGAACGATAAGGGAAAAGGTACTCTAGTTCCCCCAAGGGTATACAACCCCCAAGAGTGTGCTACTGTGCATTTGTTGTAACACGTTATGAGATGGCAGGACTTCACATCACTTGACGAGCTTGCACACAGTATGTTCACACCGTGCATGATAGATAGAGGGTTGAACCCAACCCTGTTTTGGGTTCAACTCTCCTCGGGTCACTTTGCACTGCTTGCCAGCGTAACCTTTGAACCACGTGTGATGTGAAGTTCTGGCGTAGCAGCACTGGATAAAGGCTGTGTGGTCAGTTGCACACTCTTGGGGTGATGTGCTCATTGTATCACTAATCTGAGGTTATGAGTTTAGTTCATAGGCACCACTGATGCAAGTATTATTGTGAATTTTGTGTCAAGTTCCACCCAGCATTTACTATGTCCCCGTCCTCTACGACACACACACTAAGATGATATATGCTGTGTTCTTGGAGAAGTCAATTGTACTTCGAGTACATGTGTATGGTACTATGCTGCAATAGAAAGGAAAAATCTGGAACTTGTATGCTTTGCAAGTGATTGTAAGAATGTGTATGTGTGTATGTGTGTGTTTGTTGCTATGGTGACCTAATAGGACTGCAAACCAGTATCACTTCTACATGTCTGCGCGCTCCGTGGACATAAAGCACTGTGTGAGCTGCTGATAAAAAATGGTGTCGATGTTAATGTCCAAGATAAGGTGAGCTTTGTAGGTGGAATGCACCAATCAAATGCGCTTTGCAACAAACTCTTGTGACATCAAGTATTTTTCAAGGACACCAAACCATTTGTCCTCATGCGCTGAATATTAATGTGCGCATGTGGACATAGTGCACGGCATCATGTATGCCAGGGCCGTAGCTGCCACATATTTGACTGGTCCGGAGGGACATTTTTACCTTAAAATGATATGACCGAATCAAGTTACTACAATGTACCAGTACATTTAGTGCACCTATACAGGTTTTTATTTTATTTTTTATTTTTACTATGTTCACATACCCAACTCATAAATAATACAGAAAGACAATGGTACTGAGACAAGGACAAACGTGACAACTACTGAGAAGGGGCTGCACCGAGATGCAGCAGTGATGGTGGGGCATTGATGGCTCTGCCGACCTTAGGTCTCGGCATCACGGCCAGAAACACAAACCAAAAACAAAAGATAGAGCTGTAAGGGTCAGCAAAAATAAAAATAAAGCAAGGGCAAACAACAGCTAGTACTAGTGTGCAGCGCATTCGTAGCAATGGGAGTCATTGACGGGGCACTTGAATGTAGGTGGGTTAACAGGCAGAATGTCCGTGGTCCATCGCCAATCCTGTCGGCGGAGGTATTCGTTTACGTTGCACTTAAACTTTTGAAGATTTTTGCTAATTGGGCGGAGTCTTGAAAAGCTGGCGGCAGGGAATTCCACAGCTGGATTGCACAATGTGGGAAGCTGGGGAGAATGGTGTCTGGTGCTTGACGCGGTAGGGGATTTCGTAGCTGGAAACTGTGCCCGGCGGCCATACGAAGATCGTTTCGAGTGCGAGTGGCGTCACGGGGCTCAAGCCTTGGTGGGAGGACTGCTAGCAATTGAGTCGAACCGGTGATGAAATGCAGTTTGTACGTGTATGTTAATGCATCAACGTATCGCCGTAGGCTGAGGCTCTGGAGCTCCGTCCCGGGACCATTGATGTGCAATGCACGGCGTTGGATGCTATCTAGGCGTGCAATGTGGGATGGAGCAGCTCCCATCCAGACGAGCGGGGCATACTCCCAAACGGGCCGTACAAACCCCTTGTACATTGTGAGGTGGCCTTCTCGGGAGAGATAGGGCGCAGCTCGCCGCAGGAGGCCCAGATGCTGTTTGCCACGTATAGACACTGCGCGGATGTGCTCCGCGAAGGACAGCTTCGGATCAAAATTCACCCCCAAGAGCTTTATTGTGGATAACTCTGGCACAGGGTTGCCTCCAAAGAGGAGAGAGGGCAAGGCTAGCTGCGCTCTTTGCAGCGTGCATCGTCAGTTGAAATGTTTTGGCGAAGTCACAGATTTGTGAGTGATCATGGCACAGTGCCGCATATTGAACACATTCGAAAATCTGCAGACTCACCCTCGTATACTAGTGGGTCCATTCAAAATCTCTATGTAATCATTGATATAACCTCTAGATGTATATAAATTCTCATAACTTCGAGAAAGATGATTGACACGGTCTTGTGTGGATTGAATAAACGTCTTCAGGCTGCGAAGTGCACTGAATGACCTCTCCGATGTGGCGTTCGTGGTTGGAAGAATAAGCAGTGGTTAAACAACCAGCAGGCAGGCTATGACTTACACAGCTGGTGTGAAGTGGGCAGCTAAGCTCCTTACAACTTACGGCCTGTTTGGGCGCGTTCCTGTCACTCGAGTTGAACCCCCTTTGAACCTTTGAGTTGAACCTTGGTGTAAAGAAAAGTTGTAGCCTGCAGGCACGATGACCAAGTGACTGGTGTACGGACCAGCACGTGATCGCTTACTCACCTGTTTTATTTTGGAATAAGGGCCAAACGCTGCATCGCAGCCTTCTTGGAACAATACCAGTCGACTCAGCAACCAAAAGACTACAACATATGGGCCAATCGTGTTCATCCGTGCTCATAACAACGAAATGGCGCTTTTAGTGACATTTTGCATAGAAATCCCCCTTTATGAAATAGTGGTTGCAACTTCGGGGATGATTTTTTGGTGAAAGGGTTTGCTCCCACACCGGAGTCAAGTGTCAAGTCAAGTCGTCGGAATAGTGCGAGCTCCAGTGTGGGAGCAAACCCTTTCCTAAATCCCCCTCTGACAGGGTCACCCAGTTTCGGTGGAAGAGCATGAGTTCGATTGGGGATAAAGGAGGAAGGGAGTGTCTCAAATTCCTCGGACCAAAATCATTCGACTCAGCATCCTGAAGACAGAAAATGGTATAATAGACCAATCCCGAAAAGATTGTCTGGGTTCGAAAAGGGGGCATGTCAACTGAGAGTGCACTGTACAATACAAATATGGCACTAATTGATCAGCATGCGGCACAGGACGTGTTTGATAGTTCGCGTGTGAATGCGAGGGTAAGTACACGGTTAGCCCCTGCACCCGTAAATATGCAAGCACCTCCAAGTGAACCCGCACGCCCAGCTTGGGCACTCGTGAACCCACGCAGTCAAACACAAGCGAACACATGCACGCACACGCCACTGGCGTACCAATGCTCTGACACGCAGACACCCGCACAACGTACCGCTCACTATGGCGTGCACAAACATACAATAGACACATTGGGTTGGGGGTTGCCAGGATTTCTTTTGGACAATTCAAGTATTCAAGAATATGCTCTTTGATAATAATTGATTGAGTAAAGATTCATGGAGGAAACTAGCATCGTCGGGGGCTAAACTAGCATACTGCCCACCGAGGTCGCCCGAAGAGCTAAACTAGCCTACTGCCCACCGAGGCAACGCAAATGGCCGCCGAGGGCAGCAAACCGCCCACCGAGGGCTAAACTAGCCTACTGCCCACCGAGGCCGCGCAAATGGCCGCCGAGGGCAGCAAACCGCCCACCGAGGGCTAAACTAGCATACTGCCCACAGAGGGCGCTCAAATGGCCGCCGCGGCCAGCAAACCGCCCGTTGAGGGCCAGTATCATCTTGCCCGCCGAGGGCAAACACAAACGGCTACCGAGGCCAGCAAATCACCCACCGAGGGCTCACATGACTGCCTGGCATCAGGCGTCACAACATACAGACACAATAGGAGGCCCGTTCGCCCCAAAAAAGATAGTAGTCCTAGAAACCATGGCATCCTGTTCCCCGCATTCCACAACGAGCTAGCTATGTGACCACGGCTGCAATTGCAGCGAATTACTCACAGTAATACCATGCCCGTGCAGGCATACACACACTAGTTTGAATTACGAGAGCCGCTCACTAACTTACAAGATAGGCATCCCGGCTGGCTGCCGCACGTAACATTCGCATGCAGAGCTTCTCCAGCGGCCGCCGGCTTTACTTGTGGCGGGATAACAGGGACGGGGAGAGCCCTAGCTGGCCACTGTCCTCTGACACCTGGACTCGCTTCGTGGCTGGCTCGTCCGCAAGGGGAGTGAGGAACAACGCAAGCTCCACATATTTCCCGCGCAGCACCTCGCTGTACGTACTGCGGGACACGTGGTCAGTCGCCCATTAGGCCTCGGTCACACTACGGCAAAAGTGCTGCGTCAGCGTCAGAATCATGAGCCTTTCCATGGCAACTGCCGCAGACGCGGGCAATTTGAGCATCAGACGCTGCTGCATCTGACGTGGGGAAATCGGCCGTGTTGCCGCTGATAGGAGTGACGCTTGGCGAAAAAACAGTGTCTTTTAAGGCAGTTGCTTGAGTTGAGCAGTCTTTCGACATTCGTCTCTTCAAGGTTTGTTTTGTTCCCTCTCTCTCTCATCGAGGCGTTTTCTGAGAAGAAAATGATGTTGAAAAAGGACAGTAGTATGAGTGGGTCATCGCTCAACTGGAGCCTGCTGACTTGTGAGTGTTGTGTTGTCGTCAAGAGCCCCAAAAAAGGTGAACCACTATGACGAAGTCAGGAGAAAAACAGCTGAGATGCGGACTTTTCTTGGCTTATCCATGACACTACAGCTGAAAAGGGCTTCAAATAATTCGGAAGGAAACAACAACAATTGTGCACATGTGGACCTTTCGTCTTCTTGTAATAATGAAAAATCAATGAAAATGTTGAACATTTTGTCTTATAATTATTTTGTATAATAAACAAAAGGACGGTTTCCGTGGGAATCCATGTCGTCATTGACTTTCCCTGGTGATTTTGTCACGTTGACAAATGCGTCAGGCCGCGGCAGTCACGAGCTGCAAAAACAAAACACTGTGTGACCCCGCGACTGCGTCAAGTGCTGCGGCTTGACGCTGCGTCCAGCTTCAAACTTGCTGTAGTGTGACCGAGGGCTTACAGGACCCGACATTGACAGCACTAGGGTTACACACATAATCATTGTATGCGAGACTGCTGGAGATATTCACACTAGGAGTAGGCACACGAGAGCTATGGATAGTCACACCACTAGGGGGAGACAGCCCGTCTACAACAGTCGACGCAGCCACAGGGGTAGGGGGCCTAGCACTAGTAGGCACACGTGTGGAACTACTACTACACACACCCGTACCTGTGGGAAGCGACTCCTCCACCTGCACCCGAGGATCGGCAGTGTTGGCAGGGGTAACCAGGTGGGACGGACGGCGTGTCGACCCCGCCTGACCTGAGGCTGCAAGGGTGACGGCTCCAACAGCCGCCTGGACCGATGTGGCGATCAAGGCCTGGAGGGTTGCAATTTGGCAAGGAAAAAACCCGGGCGCCGGAGCCAGCATTGCCGGGGAGCAGGGGGTGCTGCAGCAGCAGGAGGAGCTCGCTGCGGGGCGCGACACGTCGGGTACTCATCTCAGCAACTAACGGAGAAAAGAGAAAACCTCGGAAGGAAGAAAAAACTTTGACTGCAAACGCAAAGAAATCTCCTTCGCACAAAGACAGCTCAGCAAAACACGTCTCCAAATTATTAGACGCCGCCTCAACTGTCCATAAAATTTTGCCATGCCACACGCTGCACACGCGGCTTAATCACGAGGTGGTCACGTGACACTCACTCGCAGCACTCCACCACCAGCATGCGCGTACATGGGCTAACTAGGCT